GCTGGGCGGCCCGGGTTGGCGGGGCGCGCTCCCCGCGGCTCCGGGCCTTGCGGGGCCGCCTCCGTGTCGGGCTGTGGGCCCTGCCCGCCGTCCCGGGCTGAGCTCCGCCGGCGGGCGCGGAGCCTCTGGGCGCCGCGGGGAGCACGAAGGGATGAGCTCCCTCCGCGGGGCACAGCGCGGCGGGCCCGGCTGCCCCGGGCAGCTGCGGCTGAAGGCGGAGGCCGGTGTCCAGGCTCCGTCCTGGCTGGCCGGAGGTTGCTGTGCTAATAGTGTTCGCTCCAAGGAGCGTCCAAGTTGCTGGGGTGGCCAAAGGGGCGAGGATAATCGAGCCGCTTCCTTTATTAGTGCTCTGTAGGGGCAATGGAGCTCCTAAGTTTGCTTGCATATCTTTGAAAACTCTGCAGAAGAGAGTTCAGTAGCGTTGCTAATGCATCTATGTCATGAGAAAGAACCGGGAGGAAAAACTGACCAAAGAGCCGTTTTCTTGGACGTGAGGCAGGCGAGGAGGTATGTTCAGGGCCGCCTGGGAAAAACAAGCCTCCCTTCTGGTACGCTTCTGCCTTTTCAGGTGGAATAAGGAGGTCCTGGGGTAAGACAGTAACATAAGGGAACAGCTAAAAAAGAGAGTTTTAGTTCCAAGAAGCGTAGAGGAAAGTGGGGAACGCTGGCATGTGTGGGACATGCACAAGACCAAAGCAGTGAGTTAGGCTGGTAATCTTAACAGCGCTTCGGGTGGATGTGATGAGGCAGGCCAGGTGTTAGAAAAGCCAGAAAGAAAGCTGAAGTAACTGAGAACAAGAAAGGTTTGGGTGAGAATTCAGGTATATGAATAGAAAGAGAGAACGTTTTGAAGAAGAAGGGGTGGTATTTGAATGAAGTATTAAAGAAAGTTGTAAACAAAATACAGGTTAAATTACTGTGAAGAGTTCGAACTTTGAGAGGGGAAGAGGGAGTTGAGAGGGCATGAGAAAGGAAATTATTTTTCTCCATAAGAGTGTCTGAATGGAGTCACACCAAAAGCCTGTGTGATGGAGTTTCAGGGAATGACCAAAAGCAGATATTTAGGGAAAGCCTATGAGGGGTTAATTTTGATAATGCCACAGAAGTTTACTGCTTTTTTTTTTTTCCAATTTCTTAATGATGTCTGTGGCCCTGTTTGTGTTTCTGACTGTCTTGTTTCAGATTGCAGCAAGGAACTATGTGGACAGTTAATGGTAGGAGTGCTGTATTAAGTTGTTAGCTGGTGTGACAACCTTCTGTCTTAATCCAGATTGTTTAAGCTTCCTCAAAGTCTTGTATCTAATATGGTTCAACATATTAAGTAGAGTTTGAAGCACACATCTATTTTTAAGCTGTCAAACTATTTTACTGTTCCTCTCAGTTTGTCAAAGCCTGGTGTTGGGCTATCCAGCTGGCAAGGCCAGGTACAGCACATTGAGTGAATTGCTCTCCTCTTATTTTTTGCCATGGTTTGCTGACTTGAATAGTTTAAGAGAACAATCTTGCTAGTTATAAAGGCAGTTATAAATATTGGCACTAAACAGCTGTGGATACTTGAGCCTTAGAGCCCAACTTTATATTCCATTTTATGATACATCCATCAGTCTATATACAGTATTATAGCGCTCTCTCGTGCTCTCTCTCTCTCTCCCTCCCCCTCTGCCCGCCCCCCCTTGAACCTTAGAGCCCAACTTTATATTCTGTTTTACGATACATTTATCAGTCTACATAGAGTATTATAGCTATATAGATATATATGAAGCTCGCTTGACATTCCTCTTGAGAAATGTAGTTATTGTTAATCATACAAGCAAGAAAAGTTTGCATTTGAAATGTAATATGAGAATTTATTATGGCAAGAATGCAAGGACTTAAGATTTTGGTTTTGTTGGGAAGGAAAGCTTGTCTTTTGGTTTTGAAAGGCGCTTAGGATAATCAGCGCCACCACAACTTAAGTGCTTAATAATGGATTGTGGTGCTGTGTTTCTGAGATTTCCTTTTTTTGTAGTGAGGAGAGAGAATAGTGTACGTGAAATAACATGAATGCCTCTAGACTTTGTGTTTGGGTTTTTTTCCCCCCCTGCTCTATGAAAGAGTTAGGCTGGCAGCTCTGAGATTAATGAGGCAAAATGATTTACACATGAGTATTTATGCTGCATTTTTCCTGGTTTGCTGGGCAGCTAGTGTTACTTTATTAACTGTTACTCAGAGAACCTGCTAATAGTATATGAGCTGACATTTTTGGAACTGATCCAGTCATCCCTGGGCATGCAGAGTTGTCACAGAAGTAAAATATTCAGTGGAATGATAAGTGGGAGTTCTTGATATGTATATAATGCGCGAACATAAGGGAATGGTTCCTGTGAGAAGGGAATTTCAGTTCTGTATTCAGTCTTCAATGGCTTCTCATCGCTTATGTTTTTGTTTTTAACTCTAAACAATGCATGCCTTTGTTTCCTGCTTTCTCGTGTCTTGGGAATTCTGTTTGCTGCTGCTGCAGTTTAAAATGGATGAATTTCAGGGTGCTTTTCAAGGTGCCTCACGGATCTTCAATGTTAGCAGAATTGTTGACTGTGGAACCAGTTGTTGACACTGGTTTCTTTGGTCTGCTTGAGGAACATCATTTTGCTGCAGTGTGATAATAAAATCCAGGGATTTTAATTCAAATATCCCCAAATATGTAGGAACTTCTCTGGCATATAATGATTTGCAGGTTATAGAGTATATTTCATTTAAAAAGCTTGCTATTTCATGTAATTCTTAGTACTCTGTAGTTAGATTTCTGTAATGTCCACTTGAGTTATGGAATAAGGAATTTGCTGCAGGCAGTTTGGCAGATTAATTGTAGAGTCAGGAACAGAATCTGTTGTCCAAGACTACTGGGAAACATCTGCCCAAAGATAGCATCTTTGTGTCTGCCATTTTGGGGTTTTTTGTTTATTATAGATTTCACCCACACCAAAAATAATAATCTTTGAAACACAACAGTATCAGCTGCTATGATATCATACAGATATGTATTTTAGTAACAGAACATCTTAGAAATGTTAACAATGCCACTATTTGGTTTCACTCAGTAGTTTACTCCTTGGCCTTAGCAAACGAAAACTCTTGGTTTAATTAATAGATCTCTGCAGTGTTTTGCCGATTTTCAGTATCATAGTATACAGCTTGGAAACTATTTTTGTAAGAAATGAACTTTTAAACATGGCCAGGCTGATTTAGTGTGGGGTGTATCACTTCCCCCCATGCCCCCGTGTAACGGATCCTAACTTAGTTTAGTAAATTCAACTTACTTGCCAGAGACCTAACTTTCAAAAGGAACCATGCTTTGGATTGTCTTTCTACTCAGCTCTGTGGTTCATAAAGTAAACAGTATATAATACTACTGAGTAGATGTAGTATGGTAATATTGTACTGTATGTAATGGTACATACAGTATCAGAGCTAATTAACTCCCACTGACGCAGCGCGTGCACACAGACCCTGCTCACATCCTTGAGACATAAAGATATGCCAGCAGCTAGTGGTCAAGGAAAGAAAAGTGCAATAATAAAAAAGATTATGTTTCTATTGTGTACCTACAGCAGAACTGCAGAAGGTTAAAGGATATCAATTATTATTTGAACTCTGTGAAACCCATTTTTAATTAGAACTGGTTTGTGTGAGGCTGTGTTCCACCTCCTTACCCTGCTATAATCATTAACTGGTGGCAATTTACTCTTGGAGGTATTTGTAGTGTTTGTGGCTGCTTTGGTACTCAGTGTAGATTTCTCTTCTCAGATAATCTCTTGGGAATTTCCTGGGTTGACAGCTCCTGGATTCCAATATTAAACAATGGGAGTGTGTTGGACTATTTCTCAGAGCGAAGTAACCCATTCTATGACCGAACATGTAACAATGAAGTTGTCAAAATGCAGCGGATGACCTTGGACCATTTGAAGTAAGTAGTAATTTGGAACTGCTTCCTGTGCAGCGTCCTTTGTCCCTCCATCCAGAGGCTTTGATGGTGGCATGGAAGCATGCTGGAAACCTCCTTCTGTTCTGTGCTTTTTAGTCCCACTGCTTGCCAGGGAGCCCAGCTTTTTTGGTATTTGAGGTCTTCTACTTCCTCTTATGCCATTTCAAGGAGGTGTTAAGGATGAAGGATTCTATGTATATCCTGAGATTCCAGTATATCACCTTTTAGATATTTCTCTGAATTAGAAAAGCTGTCTTCTCTCATCTTCCCAGCTCAACAGAACCCGAGTAATGGTAATGTAGTTAGGTGCCTTTCTGTGGTGAAAAGGGTTTATGTTAGGGGATACTTAGGGTTCGTAAATAGTTTGTGTTTCCATATTCCGCTGGCTGTGTGTCATAATTAGTACATAATTCCTCCAAAGAGCTGGCTTTTTAGTATGGATAATAAAAGTAGTGAGTGTTGTAAATAAACCGATCACAGATGGTTGTGTAATGAGATTGCAGCATGCGCAAGTTAACTTTCTTTGCAGTTCCCCATCTGCTACACTGAGCACAAGTGAGGTATTTGAGAACTATTTAAAGACTCCACAGTATGATAAGGAGAGTGCAAGCTGAGCTAAGAGTTCATCGGTAAAGTCGCTTGTACTCAGATGTGGTTGTGGAGCGACTTTCACATCAGACACACAGATGGTCACATCATACGCTGGTCCTTTGTTTCTGTGTTTAAATGACATCTCTGTGATGACAGATTGTGTTATCTTTCTTGCTATTTATTTGTTTGCTAACATGTTCTACTTAGATGTTGTGTCAGGTTATTGTAACTCCCTTTGTGTATGCAGCTAGGTTTTGATAGCTAGCTCGGGAAATCCTATGCCTCTATTTACTGCACATTATATAGAAGAGCTTCCAAAGCATCAGAACTTCATCCCTTTACTGCCAGGCCATTTGGTAGGTCTTCGCATCCTACAGATTTTGCTTAGAAGGGGATATTTATTCTGATTGCTTCTTCAGCCAGATGGTTGGAGTGGAGTACATCCTTCTTCATGCTCAAGAACCCATTCTCTTCATTATCCGGAAACAGCAAAGGCAATCTCCAACACAAGGTAAGGTCACTCGGTTCTTGTCACTGTTGAGAAGGCCAATCAGCTAGTCACTTTTGCCTGTTCCTAATTTGTGTTTAAGCACTTCTGGTTCCCCTTTTCTGTCTTTATCTTAAATCTAAATAAAAGGGTATGAGGCTTTGTGGTGGGGTGGAGATACTTTGTCTAACAGAGTGACCTTTAGTGTGCTAATAGGAGGGATTGCCATCTTGTGGTGAAATGTAAAGAGTGCAATGAGAAAGTGCTGTCCTGTAGTATATTTTGCCATGGGAAATTGATAATGGCATTCATGCCATGTCGTATTTATCTGTTAGACTGTGCAAGAGTTTTCATTTTAATTATTTGAATATAAGGCTGACAATATCCTTGCTTGGGGCTGATGAGCTTAGTTTAGAGCTAATCATCTGAAGTGGCTAGTATGCAATTTATTTATTTGTTTATTTTGCTGAACCATGATTTCCATTAGTTAGGGAGAGGGAGCATTCATGCTTCTGTTTTTGTCATGTCACTCTCTTATTTTGCACTATTTCCACCTTCAGCTGTGGGTTGGTTATACTGCTGAGTAGGATCTTGTCAGTAGAAGACAATGACCCATGTGAAGGATGACCATGAGATACTGCAAATGCTTGTTGGTTTGGTTATTCCTCTGAGAACTGAGTATTTTGGAATCATGAGGGAATCTTGTGACAACACCACCACTCCTTCTTACAGTGTCACTGATGACCTTCCCAAGTTTTAAATGAAATACCTTAGCTTTTTTTTCTATTTGCATGCAACTAGCTTCATTGTTCTTTTTAACCTTAAATTTGTTTGTGCATGTGTGATTAATTAAAAAAGTAACCACACTTCAATAGTTATTGGACTGTCTTCTGTGTTTACTTCATGTATATGTAAAATAAATAAGCTGGTAATTTCAGAGTAAGCTTTACAGGAAAGAAAGGCAGGGTTAATGCTAGTTATTTCTTAACTTTGTTTTTTAGTGACTTAGGCTCTGCATATGCATTTTGGTCTTGTGCAGGACGTTGCCTTGTCTAGCAATGCTTCTTATTTGCTTATATCAGGTAATGGCCTCTTTGTATTGCAGTTTCATACTGAGAAAGAGCATGTATGATGCCTCCTTTTAATAGATTTTTGAGTTGTTTCTTTACTAAAGATTTTGAATCTAGCTTTCAAAAGGTGAGTATGGAAATAATCACGCAGCCCTCAATTTCCTGTTTTGACACTTTTTTAATCAAGAGCAGAGTTGGGGCTTCTACAATATGTGTGTTCAGACTTTTGCTGTAATGCAAATGTATGTTTGGTGGAACTTAACTGGGACTTGTTTGGTAACGTTTTTCCCATTGTAACTGTACGGTTTGTGCTAGATACCTTGCTTGAGTCACATAGTTCCCTAGCTCAAATGTTATCCATGTGTTTCATTTTATCATGGTACAAATACTAGTGTATTTGAGACATGAGAATGGGGATGGAAGACTAAAACTTAGTGAGTCCACAGCAAGTGTTGAGTACTCAGGTAGAACTGGTGCAGGACTGTCTAATGACTTCTGTGTGGTTTTTTTAAAAAGTATATTTATATTTTAAATTCTTTAAGCCAGGTTTTTGCCTATTTGAAGTGGTTTTGGAAAAATCTTTAGATCTAATGACTAGGGAGAGTTACCTGTCTAGGAAAATAGGCTGCTCTGGCACAGAGCTGTGAGACAGTAAAGCTGCTGTTCTGTGCCTTGCTCCAGTTCTAAGGAAATGCAGAGAATCCTCTTTCTTTTGAGGAGGACTGGGTACTGGCTGTAATATGCACCCAGCTATCTTGGCCTGTTAATTTAGGCAGGTGTCCAAGCTTCATAAAATGCAAGTACTGGATGAATTGGGTCCTGTCAGTAAAAATAAGGACTGACTTTGAGACTGAATATGTGTTAATACAGATGGAGGAACTGGAACAAGTGTGTGCACAGGTAAGATCCTTAGGAATGTGAAGCTGATAGCATCGCTATAGTTTCTCAACTGAAGAATGTTCGGCAGAGTATTACAGAGGCAACTGTGATGTTCCTCTGCACTGCAGCTCTAATGAACAAGAATTTTTGATGGGTCAGTAGAGGTTCCAAATCTGATTTAGCAAATGCCTTTGGAAGGTCGTCTTTTTTTGGCAGACCTTTATTAATTTTGAAAGGCATACTCTGTGTGTGATTAGCTGCCATTGGGTCTGGGAAATCTAGCTAAAGAGGACTGTACAAGTTGAAGAAAGCTGAGGCCAGAAGAGTGAGATCTTATGTTGTTGTGGGTTTCTACCAGTAGTAAAGGCAAGTGGAACTATTTCCAGTGCAGTTCACTTGACTCCTCAGGTGTAGCTCTGAAAGCCACAACTCTTCTAAGGTCGATTATTTGTTTGTAGTAGGACAGGACTTAAAGCTGATGCTTTTCTATCTGTAAAGCAGACCTTGGTTTTTTTCCTTCTTATAAGTCTGTGGCTGGGGTGCAAATAAAGCACCTTGAAGGAAAATGTTAAAAAGAGAAAATTTGGTGATGAGATGATTATTGCAATTTCTGCTGTTACTACTGAAATTTAGCAACAAATACAGAGTCTTCAGCCAGAGCTTTAAACTGATCCTGCTTTTTTTTTCTTCCCACAGTTATTCCATTGGCTGACTACTATATTATTGCTGGAGTGATTTATCAGGCACCTGACTTAGGGTCTGTCATTAACTCCAGAGTTGTAAGTGTTCTGTGCGTTTGATGTATAGCAGTTTGTATCTGCTTTTACTTTTGGTTGTTCCTCAGGCTGTTTCAATCCCTCCTTCACTGTTTTGAGGAAAGATCTTGTGTAGTATACAGTAACTTAAAACTAACCCCACTGGTTAATATGGTGTGTATACCACATCGAAATGAAAGATCCTGGGAGGGTGCAATATGATCCAAAAATTAGCATACCTTGTTTAAGGATGAAGGATCAGAATAACTGAAGCCACGCAATTGGCGGAGCAACATGAGGTTCAAATAATCAAAAGGAAAACTAAATGACAAGTACATATGAAATAGTAATTAAATGCATATTCAGTGAAGCTTGCTTTGGAATGTTAAAGTCATGTAATATTTCTGTTCAAATGAGGCTTGTTTTAAGTTAATGTGGTATTTATTTTTAAATTGGTTACTTGGGTTTGTTTTGATTTCTTTTGTTCTAGTAAACTACTACTTATGCAAGTTTTTCTCTGTCAGTTAAGAAAAGGTCTTGTAAGAGCCTGTTAAAGAGATTACATTCTTGGTCCAAAACTAGATGTCCCAAGTTCCCTTCCCAGAACAGAAATTAATATAGAATGCTAATTTTAAAATCCCTGCTTTCAAAAATTTATCCTGTATTTTCTCCTTAAATTCTGAACATTGCCTTATAATCTTGTTCTGAAAGCTCACTGCAGTGCATGGAATTCAGTCTGCTTTTGAAGAAGCTATGTCCTACTGTCGCTATCACCCATCCAAGGGCTACTGGTGGCATTTCAAAGATCAAGAAGAACGAGGTATGATTCCTAATTGCTCCTGCATACTTTAGGAGAGGGAAGGTAATGTAGGGAACTTCAAGGCAATGCACAGTGATGGTGTAGAGATGAGGTTAAGTGCCTTTCTGTCTGAAGGATAAGTTAGTGCTCTCTATCAGGTGGAAGGAATCTTGCTCTTCTGTGCTGGTGGGGATGAACATCGAGGCATGGGTGGGAAATGAAAATGGTGAGCCATGTGTCAACAAAGTGGGCAACTCTTCAACCCACTAGAGTCCAAAGTACATTTTCAGAAGCCAAACCAGTTTGTCAGGAGGTAAGAATTGTCCTTAATCTCTCTTCCACAAAAAAAAATAACTGATGTCAAAGGGAAAATGTAGGTGAAGTTTAGAGGAGAGACAAATACCAACTTGTCATACAACAAAGAGCTGCTAAGAGAACAGAACTTTTAATACAGCTTTCTCTTATATTTCTGTGACTTGCAGAGAAAGCTAAACCAAAAGCCAAGAAGAAAGAAGAACCAAGTTCTATTTTCCAAAGGCAACGGGTAGATGCTTTGCTTTTAGACCTAAGACAAAAGTTTCCACCCAGATTTGTTCAGGTATGACACTTATAAGCCATGGTATTATTGTAACTTCCTTAGACCTTAAGGCAGTCGTAAGTACTTGAACAGCTGAAACTGAATGGGGATTTTGTGTGCCTTCTGCAGTGGTAACATAATAAATTTGAAATGGAAGGCTCTGATTGGAGTGAAGGATTCCCCTTTGTAATTGCAGGAGTCATTAAAACCTCAGCAAAACTATGAGGGCAAATTTTATTATAGAAATTCCTTATCTAATCACAGAAGGTCTGTTCTTGTCAGCTATTGGATTTTGCTGCTGCTTCCAGTATCCTGCTTTCTGAGCACAATCAAGCCACCACAGCTATTTTGTTTTAGTTAATCCATTGTTCTGGAGGCTTATTAATTAGTGTGGAAATTCTTGGCATTCTGTGAAGTTGTTGTCATTACCTCTGATTGTCTCTAGAAGCCATTTGTTCCACCAGGCCTTCTGCTTGGGAGCAGAGGAAATTGTTTACAGCATCTCACATAACTGTTTATTCTTCAGATGTGGGAAAGACTAGCTAACTGTGTTTTTTTTTTTTTTTCTTTAGTGCTTTTCAGTTGTTAGAGGAAGAACTGGATGTTATAAAATGTTAATTGGATTTTGTTTAAAGTGTATTTAGTGATTCCTTCTACCCTCAACTTTTATGTATAAAGATGCATTGCTTGGTTTATGTTCCTAAGTGAATAGTAGGAAGGGTTAAGAATTATGACTTTGGTTCCACTGATGTTTTTTATTTTTTTTCCTTCCTCCCGCACAGCAAAAGCCTGGAGAAAAACCTATCCCAGGTAAAACTCTTAATATTCTCACAAGACTTAAAAAATAGGCTCTACATAGCAGTGTCTTCCAGTTGCCATATAAGCTCCTTGCTACTGAGGTAGTTAGGAATTCTGGCATTGCCTAATTCTGCAAAGTACTAGCTAAGAGTTCTCTGTGACGGCCAGAGTGAAATTGAAAAAAATGTGTATTCTACTCCTGCCATTTCTGTTTGCAAAACTGTATTGCCTGGAGGTCCAAATGCAGGAGATGGTCTTTGAAAGCAGGAGGAGGGTAAAAGGGTGAATGAGGGAACAGTTTAGTCAGTTAAAAAAAAAAAAAAAAATCTTAGTTTGGTCAGTTAAAAAAAAAATCTTAGTGATTTTGCATGGTACTACAAGCTCAAGAAAGCATATGGAGGCTTTGAGTTGATCATAAGCAACCTCAAAACAGGAAAATCATGAACTGTATCTCTTCAATCTATTCCACTTTTTTACCTGTATAGGTAGGAATTTAGTCCTTGGTTATTTTTACACCTTTGAAATTAATTTTGCCCCTTTGACGTCAACAGTATTTTCTAAGTACTCTGAACAGTATTTTAGGAATAAAAATTGGAGGTTTAACTTTCTTTTGCTGTTACTTCTTAAGTGGATCAAATCAAGAAGGAACCAGAACCAGCCCCTGAAGCTGTCAAGACAGAGGAAAAAGAGACTGTAAAGAATGCTCAGCAGAGTGCTGGTGCTAAAGGACCACCTGAAAAACGGATGAGACTCCAGTGAAGGCAGAAGTTGTTACACATCTGGATTAGTCAGTACCTGGAAAACAGGAGATTCTTGCTCCCCTTTCTTTATATTTAAGGTCTTCAACTGAGACTGATGATTCAGGGACTGAAGTCCCTGTAACAGCTTTTTTCTGTAGAAACCTGTCACGCAAATGTTAATGTGAGGATGTGAGCTGCCTCAAAGAAGGTGTTTTCAGTCTTCATCTTGAGTGTTGGCTTCTGAGAACGGTTTCTACATGGACATATTTTGCAGCCTCCTGAAATCTTTGCAAACTCTTGCATCCCTTGTGTCTTGGTTTCCTATGCAAAAAGAAAAACTTTTATATTAAAAAAAAAATCTGAATTCTTGGCAAATAAAACTCCTGGCTGCTGGAATGCCTTTCTTAAATGCTTACTTTGTTAGTAGCAAATACGCCATATGTGCTGGCAGCATTTTTTTGCTTGGCTATTGGAATATATTGTGTGCTATTTTGAGGAAGAAAAGTTCAACTAAAGGATTTAGGCTGCCTGCTATAAATTGCTGTGCCTTTAGTATGCTTGGTATACAGATAAAAGACTTGATAACTGGAGGCTGAAATCTATGTAATTAGATGTCAAACTGCTCCCAGTCTCTAAATGTTCTTAGGCACTCATTTTACTTAATGGCTAAGCTGGTTTTTTATAATAAAAGCTAGTGTTCTATGAGAGAGATTTATGATGACGTCAAACAGGCTAGAAAGTCTTGCTGTTGCACACTCAGTGAAGCTGTTTATAATTCTCCTTTTTTCACTGTAACTCAAATGTATCAGTTACATCTCTTCCTCTGTGCTTCTAGCACTTTCTTGCTGCATCTGATCACCTTCATTAGTCATCTGTCTTTTAGACCCTGAGGAGTTAGGGCAGTGGAAGAGAAACATCACTGACAGCTATACAGTTTGCTATTTAAGCATTTTTTTTTTTGCAGAAAAATTAGAAGTCATCCATTGCAAAGAAATGACTATTGGTTTGGTTTTGTTTTTTCATTGAAGTAATGGAGCTATCCTTGAACTAGCTTGCTTTCTTTTCACAACTGCTACCTGCTTTCTTGTAGTAAACTGTAATAAGCGAGAAAAAGGTCTGTACATAGCAAACAAAATGTAGATATGAAGGAAGACTAAGATATGCTTAGATAGCTGTGTCAGATTTGTGTTGAGGTTATAAGAGACTCTTTTTCTGTTTCAGTAACTAATAAACAGCTCTGGGTAGCTGTTGAATGATGGAAAGACCCATGTCATTTTTGTCCTGTAATCCAAAGCTGTAACGTTAAAGATGTAGATAAGCCAATAGCTGTTTGCTCTTGATGCAGATACAGACCTAAAATTCATATATCGGTGTACTTAAGCGTGTATTAGCTTTATTTCATACCGCGTGGGTCAAGTTTGAACAGCTGTTTCTCCAAATGTTGATAGAAGTAGATGATAAGCTAGTGTGAACTCTTAAATCAAGTGAAGATATAAAAGCAATTATTCTGGGATGCTCAAAACAAGAGAGAGCTAATTATTCAGCATTGAATAATTACAAGGTAGTGTGAATACACTTAGAACAAAAGGGTGTTGATTCTTTCTTGTATTAAAGAAATTCCTCTGAAAGCAGGGAGCTCAAGAAGCACCAAATCCATCACCTCATCCACCCCCATGATGGAAAGGGGGATCTCCAGAAATGAGGCATGAGTGGTGAGGAACCTCAAGAGTCCTTCCTGGATTTTTGATGTTCAGAGTGAAGTCCTTGGAAATGGCCATTAAAGGAGCTGAATTTCTCTGTAGTTATTCATATTACTAAGAACTTGTATATCATTTGGAAAAAAACTTAAGCAAGAAAGATGACTAGACTGCACTGTAATGAAGATCTAGGGTGGTGTTTTTTTTTTTTGAGGGAGAAAAATTACCTACTCATACACCAAGGAAAGATTTAACATTACTAGCAGAACGACGATATCTTTCTTATTGCTGAAGGCACGTACAGCTGTGGTCAAAAATGGATGCTAGAACACACAGTGTGAGCAAAGTATTCTATCAGTCACTGGACTTCACCTGAAATAGTGTGTTGTACAGCTCAATGTCTGAAAAAGAATTCTCCTAAAGTAGAGAGATTTGAAGAAGGGCAATAAAATGAGTAGGAGAAAGATATTTTTTTTTTTCTCCTATGAAGCCACTGGGAGGACCAAGAATTTAGTTCCTTAGGAAAGAAAAGATAAACAGAGTCTTTATAAAACCGAGTACTGCGAAGCAAGTAGGAAAGTAGAGAACTCTTGTTCTGTCTTGTAGTACAAGAATAGAGGGACAAGTTAATGAAGCTGAATTGTTATACTCCATGCTCAGAATTTGAGCTGATTCAGAGATGAGGGTGGAACTTGAAGGGGCAGACTGTCCTCACGTCTGCATCTCTTAACAGCCTTTTTGCTTTCTGCAGAAATGTCTGGTATTGGCTGGTGTCAGAGGGCATTAAAAAGGATGGACTTCTGCTCTGATCCCATCTGAGTTAAAGTGCCTGCATCTAAGCTATTGAGAGGATAGAAAATGGCTTCCATGCATTAAACAAGGCATTTGAATATGATAAGCCTCTTCCAGGGGAATGATCTTTTCCTGAGAGAATTATATTATAAAGCAGTAAGGGATGTTACCAAAAAGTGTGTCGATTTCTTAGTAGCTGTCCTTCAATGTTGAAGGTTTGTCATATGAGGGACTGAAGTATCTTCTGATCCTGTTACTTGCTGACAAGATATTCTAAAATAATTTTAAGTGAGCTTTGATATTAACTTACTCAAGTGACATTATGTCAGATATTACTGTTAAACTCCAAGTAATTTACTGTCAGAAAGCTGTTAAGCAGCTATCTTCTAGTCAGTAATATTTTTCAGTGTATGAGCATCTAAGCCTTTTCTCTCTGGTATTTATACACTGTCTCTTGGTTTGGAGCCTGGGTGCCGAAGTCCAAAGTCCTTCAAAGGACCTTCAGTATTTGTAAAGCTTATAGATGAAAGGGAAATAAGCGAGAAGTGCCAAAATTTGCCCTGCGTGTCGCTTTCTTTTGTGAAAATGAGAGATTTGGTTGTACAGGAGAGCTATCTCTACTTTTGCTCTTTGATAATAACCATTCAGACTTCAAAAGGGCTTTTCTTGGCCTAAATCATGGGGTAGCAGGAGCTGAAAATGACCTAGAACTCTTAATAGAAACGTTCTCCCGAGAGCCTGAAAGTACATATAAATGTGTGTATACACATGAACAGATACACATGCGTGTATATATACACATGCAAAAATAGTAGGCCAGATTATAGGAAGAAGGGCAGTCTAGCTACCTCAACTAAAATGCTAATTAAAGCTAATGGTGTCTCAGATGCAGCAGAAATACTGTCTTTTCCAACTCTTCACTAAGTAAGGTCTGATGAGGCTATGTGTTATTGTCATCCGCTCCTCTTTGCCGCTCCACCCCCATACTTCGTATTTTGGTAACCTTTTCATAACAAAGAAAGTTAGCTGCTGTTTGGGCAGTCAGTACGTATTGTTTGCTGAAGCAAGCTGTACTTGGAGCAAGGTTAGAAGGCTATAGGCAATAGGAGGGACAAGGCAAAGGGGAGAGATTAGCTTTATTTTGAGACATAGAGGGTCCCTGTGAGAAATGGTGAAGATATGTTATGCAGATAGGTTGTGGCTTCACTGAACTAACGGGTGGCTTCTGAACAAAAACTGATGTGATACACTTTTTCTTTTTTTTTTTTTTTGATATTTTTTTCAATGGCAAAGCAAATGATGATAACTAGGTGTTCAAGGTTCAAGACAGTTTTTCTTTTTTCTTGGAGAGGAAGGTGAGTTTTTGATAACGTGTTGCTTTCGTCCTGTAATCATGCGCAGAACAAATGGTCACTTACGTGACAAGTGTCCCTCTGTAGCCTAATGTGGATCATAGATGGATGGGTGTGGGGAGAAATTTTTGCAGTGGGATGAGTTATGACGTATTATTGATCTCTCAGCAATCAGAAGGCTTCATTTCTTTCCGCTAGGAAAGTGGATTTCAACCTATGGTCCACAAGGCTGCTGGGGGTCTGTGACCTGTTCCTAAAGACTCAACAGAAGGTAAGCGAGAAAAGTAAACCTCTTGCTGGTAGGATTCAATTCCATAGGAGCTTGCACCTTCACTGGAAATTTTAGGGGGCTACAGGATTGAAAAAATATTTGAAAAACACTGATGAATCATGAGAAAGCCAGTTACACCTGCCAAACAAATGTTTCTGCAGTTGAAGTAGATACGGATTGCTGCAGTATTTTTTCCCTGCTCTACTGTAAGGACAGTCATTTTTTCTTCCAACCTGTTCGTTGTCATATAATGGGAATCTTTCCCTCCCTCCCCTTTGATCTTTACCTGATCAGAGTACAGAAGTACAAGGCTCTGGTAACCTGAACACAACAGTGTCATCTTTTTTTTTATGTAACCTCGATACTGAAGGGCTTGCTTAGGTGCTCAACAGTGTCAGAAGCTTATGTTGACACTTACCCCCAAGAATAACCTGCCATGAGTTCAACAATGGAACCAGAGTACTTTCTAGTCCTAACTATATAGTTATGTTTATATTAAAAGAGAAAGAAAGTAGTAGGCAGCTTCTGGGGGGGGTTGGGTAAGACATGTCTCTAGCAAGTTGGCAGAGTGATTTAGTAGGGCCTTTTCTGCAACTTACGGAGTGGTCACACAGCAGAAGTATGCATTTAAAAATAGTGCCACAGACACTGCACACAAAGATTGTGTAACGGGATTTTTCTATTATAGTTATTGTGGTCTGAGTTATATTTATTTCAAAAGACATAATCTGACTTAGGTCACAGCCCTGGAATGCAAAACTGATACTTGAAAAGTAGTGGACAATTATTCAACAACTAACTGCACATAAAAGACTTCACAGAAAATAGTTTCTATAATTTTAAAATTAAAACTAATAAGAAAATAAATCTAAGGCTAACACAGGTCATGAGTTTGTTCACTTTTAGGTAAAGCAGTAATAAATTTCGGACAATATACAATTACGGATATCTAGAAAGATCTTTCTAGATGGATATCTAGAAAGATCCTAATAGAAGCAGGCGTCCTCCTGTTTTTGTTCCTGTAATCTGAGGTATTGTATTACAAGGTGTACACTACTAATGCTGGCCACACTTGCAATGAACGAGCAAGGTGCCAGTTCACAGAATCTGAAGCCCCTGTGGACAACTGTTGGTAACCTCCACCGCTGTTGGTTAGGCCTGCCATGTGCCGAGCTCAAGGTACCAGCCCACTCAGGACCCTGGGGCATGAGGCAGCAGAGGGAGGCTCTGAGCACTCTGCCTCTCTCACTGCTCAGCCTCCTGAGGGGTAGTGCCTGTCTCTGGCCGTTTGAAATGTTAAGTGTTGCTGCCCGTGCCGGGGTGATGGTCAGCACCCAGAAGCTGGTGCCGAAAGGCAGGATCCCTGAGATGGGGATGGAGTGGTGGGAGGGTGCACGTCCTGCAGCTGAGAAAGATAAGGGACACAGCAGGTTGGACTTCATCCCAGACATGCTTTCAGTGCTGAAAAGAAAGTTGTGAAGAGTTCCCACAAGGTAACAGCTGTGGCTGTGTCGAATCCCAGCAGTATGTGCCAAAAAAACAGTGCATAGCTGTGCTGCACAGGACATTGTGTCTTACCACAATCCAGATCACTGTCTTATAGCTGTGTCTTGATGGAGCTGTTCCCTGAAACAGGGGTGGCAGCCAAGTGGTAGATGTACCTGTAAGCTCTCTCTTCCCAGTGCTCTGCAAGCACAAACCTTTAGAAAGGCCATGATGTGGGAAAACGGTTGTTGCATCAGTGATGTCTGTGTTTAAAGCACATTGCTGTAGGTATGTAGCAGCTGTCGCATAGATAGGCTTTATGCTTTTATACTTGGTGCTATTAGTTTGTCTTGATATTATTGAATGTAGTGGAAGTGAATTCCTCCCTGGTTCTACCTTTTTTCTTGCAGGGTGTGTGTGTATAGCTGTAGTAGCTATAGTAAGGCACGTGCTAAGAAAGCGCACCAAGGAGTGCTATGTCCTAGTAACCAGCTACAAGACTAGGATTTCTGTACTTTTTCATTTCGGTACCTAAGCTTTTCCAAATATTCTTTTGAGCTGAAATAGTCTGTTCCTGATCTCCACTCACAAATTATCCTTTAATAATAAAAAAGCAAACAAAGCAAAAGCCAGCCTTTGAGCTATTAAAAGAGATTTTTTTCCCCCTTGTAGTCTAACCAAATGATCCCTTTGCTCAACACAAACATCCGTGACAAGGAGTGTGAAGCTGAGCTGGGGCCCCTCCTTGCTATGTCTGCTCAGAAGGAGAAACACCCGTTAATTTGAAAATGAAGATTATAAAAAGCTGGGAATGTGCTTGTGGTAGACTAATTTATTTGCTCCTCCGTACATGCTCAAAGAGCAAGGGACGGATGTCTCAAGGCGCGCTCACAGCCCTCCAAGTTGTACCCCCAGGCAGCGGGGTGCCATTTCCGCAGGGGGAAGGCAAAGGGGGCTGCGATGCCGCTGCTCTTCCCCAGCTGCGGCCCTCCCTGCTGAGGGGCCGTTGGAGGCCTCGGGGTGGTTCCCCCCGGGCAGGGCCCTTCCAGGCTCCCTCCCCTCACAAAGCGGGGCGTGGGGCAGCACCGGGCAGCGGCGATGGCAGCGCTGCTGGGGCTGCTGGTGTTGCTGGGCCTGGCGGGGTGCCCTGCCGCCTCGGGGGACCTGCCCGGGGAGCTGCACGTCGCCGCCACGTGGGTGACGGTGCCGCGGCAGTTGAGCCCCCGGGCTGACACCAACCCCCTGGCCGTCTCCTACTGGCTGGAGGTGGGGGGGCGGCCGCGGGTGCTGCGCCTGCGGCCCAGGCGGGGCCTGGTCTCCCACCCCTTCACCTTGGTCACCTACGGCAAGGATGGGGCCCGCTGGGAGGAGCACCCCTTCGTGCAGGACAACTGCTTCTACCAGGGCGAGGTGCAGGGGAGCCCCGGCTCCCTGGTGGCCCTCAGCACCTGCGGCAGGGGCCTCCATGGCCTGCTCTGGGTGGAGGATGGCACGTACGAGATTGAGCCCATCCCCGACGATCCGGCCTTCCGGCACATCCTCTACCACATGGAGGAGGCCAACAGCCCTGTGGGCCCCACCTGTGGGCTGACCCCAGAGGAGCTGCAGCACCAAAAGGCTTTGCTGCCCTGGTTCAAGGTCCCCCGGGCGGAGGAGGAGGAGGAGATGCTGAAGGACTGGTGGACACACATCAGGTATGTGAAGATGGTGGTGGTCGTGGACAATGTGCGGTTTGTGAAGTCGGGCAGGAACGAATCTGAAGTTTTGAGGCAGGTCATAGAAATCATCAACATTGGGGACTCTCTGTATGAACAGCTTTCTGTTCGGCTGTTTCTTGTGGGATTGGAGATCTGGACCAAAAGCAACCTTATAAACATTACTAACTCTGTCAACAAGGCACTTGACGACTTTAACAAATGGCGGAAGTCAGACCTGTCTCCACGGATGCGCCATGATACCGCTCACTTATTTGCATTTCAGAGCTTTGGAAGGAGCCTGGGATTGGCGTTTCTAGGGTCCATGTGTGATAACCAGTGGTCATCAGCAGTTGCTTCCTTCACTAATAGGAAGTTGTCCTCATTTATTACCACATTTGTCCATGAGCTGGGCCATACTCTTGGGATGCGCCATGATGAACAGGGCTGTAAATGCAGACGAAAGAAATGCATTATGTATGAAAGCGATGTTGACACCGATGCGTTCAGTGACTGCAGTTACAAAGACTACTTTGACCTGCTTGGGCGTGGCGCCGGCTGCATTCGTCAACCACCAGCACCCGGCACTTTCTACACCATGAAGCGTGAATACTGTGGGAATAGGATAGTAGAAAGCGGAGAGCAATGTGACTGTGGTTCAGAATCAAACTGCAGAAAGGATCCTTGTTGTTACTCAAACTGTACGCTTACTGCAGGCTCAGTCTGTGCTTCTGGAAAATGCTGCAAGAACTGTCAGGTCTCTCCAGCAGGA